AAAGCTGGGGATGAAGTGATGTCAGATTTCTAATGTACGATTAGCCTTGATAAAGAATATATATATATACACTTTCATGTAATCCTGGTCATAGTTTTCAATAAGAAACACGGAACTGTTTAAGATAAAGGTGTTGCTTTTAATTAAATTAGTTTGGCAATGTTGATAACCTAGTGCTGCTGAAAAATCTTTACAATGATTAGAATCATCTTTGTTATTGACAATTATTTATTAATTAATCAGCTCTGATTGATCAGCAGCTCAGATGTTGAGAAAATTCTACTTTTACTACTTATCAAACACATCAGAGATAAGAAATGTTTAAGTTTGGCAAAAAATTAGACCATATACTAACATTTTCAATTTATGCATAAATGGGAATAATGTTATTTGATTGTGATGATTCCAATCAACCAGTTTAAACTTACATTTGTATATTGCATTTATTTTTGAGTCATAGTTATCATTCTTTTAATTGAAAAAAATTGCTGGTGAAATTTCAAAGAAATCTGTACTGGCTGGGAAAGGTGTGATCGGTGCATCTTTCACAATGAAACGTAGATGTGGGCAAAAGATAGACAAACCAAATACATCCAAAAACAAAAAATACACTATGAAATTGTAGTTTTCTGCAGCCTAACTTTTTTATTATTATTATTAAATTAAACTTTAATCATGTCTCATATTAATTTAATTTTGTTCCTTGGATTTTTAAACTTAATTTTTTTAGTATTTGTAAACTGTAGGGATACAGCTTAAATAATCGTGAATATAAATATATGACTGAAAACTGCAAAATAGAGAATTCAGGATAAAAAGCCCAAAAACATATTTAATTTTATTTTATTTACTCATTATGGTCAACAAAATAGAAAATAAAATAAAATCCAGAATTTCTATCAACTGGAATGGATTTCTGTAGGTGGATGTTTTACAGGAACTACCCATCCTACAGAGATCAAATTCACTAAGTTGAGCTACTAGTTTGAACTTCAAAGTAAAGAAATATGTTTTTAAGATCTGCCACTAGATGGTGCTAGAGTAATGCATTTTTTTTCCAGAAACGCCTTAAGATCTTTACTCAGACACAAATAATGGAAAAAGGCAGTTTATTGCAACAGAAAACAGAAACTGTAGACAAGTGAGAAAAAATACTGCTGTACTGGCTGAAAGGAAACACACAAACATATGCAATAGCTTATATCAGTAAACCAATGAACAGTAGCACAGGTTGGAAATACTGTATGAGTTTGTGTTGTTAAAGAATTCCAGGTAGAAATATCTGTACTATCAGAGGATTTTGACCCAGTTTCATCCAGTCATGATATTAAAAATACTGCTAAAGCCACATCTCTTAAAATGACCTTTACAGCCGTGTTTGCATTCAATCACCTGTGAACTGTTTTGGTTGAACTTTTGATATGAAAATTTAACAAAATTTGTACTTAAACACAGACAAAGCTGTGGCAAGAATACTGAACTTTGAAAACAACTGAAAAGCGAAATTGGGAAATAAGCTATAAAGATGTTGTGGAACAGTTTACAATGGATCAAATGGCTTAAAGTATCAAGTGATAATCTGGGTTAACAGAATACAAATAAAGGAAATTTGTTCTGCTTCGTGTAAATCCAGATGCGGTGTCATAATGCTCCTGTTTTTATTTCTTTTAGATCAGAATGTGCAGGAGCTGTGTTTTTTTTCATCAACGCAGCATCACCAGGCAGGCAGGCTGGATGGGGGTGGGGTTAAGTTGTTGCTCTGGAGCACCTAGCTGGGAGAGAGCGCAGGGCTGGGTTCAGTGCTGATGTTAACCAAGCACTCGCTGGACTTTAGGCTCGCCAGGGACTTGGAGCTCGGTAAGGAAGCCAGGGAGCCACACAGCCCCAGCATGGAGGGAGTGTTGTCTTTGCCTGAAACGGGAAAACAGAAAAAACACAATGTAAAATCCAAGTTATGATCCAGCGTAGTATAAACTGCCTACACAAGGCGACATACAGTGGGATCAAGCCTGCCTCTGTGCAAGTATAAGTATGCACATGTGCATGGGTGGCTTTCACTATGAGGCTTTTATACCAGGGTTCATTGCATGAATTTATTTGTTGCAGAACATGAACATTATTAGGTATTACTTAATATTTAACCAACAACATTAAAGATTGAAGTGATGTAACAGATAAAGTAGGACAAAAAAATAAAACATAAAAATCTGCATGTATAAAACAGTTATACCTTCTGAGGTCCAGGGAGCATCTCCATTCTGTCTCCCTTCACTTTTATCAGAATTCAGACTGAGTTCAGTAGAAAGTTGCTCCAGACTATGGAAACTCCTCCTTGATGCAGATGACATCACCAAAAGGAAAATAAGACAACAACAAAAAAACACAGAGTTTAAACTTCACGTTTTATTAAAACAAAGTAAAGTCATAAATTATAAAATAAAGTAAAACAACATGTAAGGTAAAATACTGTCATCCAGGAACAGGGTAATTCACTGTGCAAAAGGGTTTACCTGCGGAACAGCTTGACATCGCATTGGTTGTTTTGGATGCTGGACCACTGGTTGATGAGCGGGACGGAGAGATCTTTAGCCAAATGGGAGGAATCGCAAGGCATGAGGGCAGAACTGATGGGGAGAACAAGTTATTGCTATGAAAATTAAATATTTTTATCACAAAGTACTGAGTTGCAGTTATACTTATTACAGACCGGAGTTTGATCTAAGCATGTCTAATCTAAGCATGTAGAATATATATATATATATATATATATATATGTATATATATATGTATATATATATATAAAATTTTCAGCTTTTATTGTCATTACAGTCACAAGTACAGAGCAACGAAATGAACTCCCTGCATTAAACCCATCCATGCGTAGAGTGGACAGAGCCCCTTTTCCATCTCCCTGTTCCGAAAAGCAATTTATATATGGTCCCCGGACAGGGGACGTATCAGATATAAAAACTGATAAGAATAGATAAGAACAGATGCACTTGATCTTAGCCAAAAGGTTGAGAAGGATATTATATGTAAAAGTCTTCAAAAACAGCATTTGTTTGAAGATCATTTAAATATTCTCAAGGACTTGAAAGTTAGTCATGGAAAAACGGAAATATTTAGGAATATATCTACTGCGTTATTTATGGTCTCACTGATGTGTCTGGTACCTGTTTTAATTACTGTTTAGGAAATAACAGAAAAGGGCTCTAATGGCTCCAACGCCTACAACAGTAATTAAACTTCCCCATTTGATCAACATGTTAGGGAAGCAAGCAATCTACTAATGTTTATGATATTAGATAATTATTAGATAATCCTGTTCCTTGTTGGACTTTGCTGTGGAAGAGTTAGTGGCCCTGTTGTGCCACAAAAGTCTTGAATTTTGGGTGGATTTATAGTAGTTCTACCAACACGGGTTCCCTCTGACATTTCATAGACATTTCCAATGTTTTGGAAGAAATTTTGGTCCAAAGAATGGGCAGGAAGCAGAGAGCTGAGAGGCTGTAGTTGTGCAACGATAAAACAGCTGGACTGTCCAAGGAAAGGAAGCCCTTTTCCATTTGAAAAAATAAAAGATCGACAATCACAAAAGGAAGAAAATAATACCAAGAGAAAGAGGAGTTAAAGGCTATGCAAACTCTGTTATCTTTTGTTTTTTCATTCCAGACAGAAAAATCTAAATGTGAATCCTCACAGTTGTGCCTGCAGTTCCAGCACGATGGCCTCCAGCTCCTTCTTCTCCTGCTGGCCTTGCAGCGTTAGCTCCTCCACCTTGGCTCTGAGACGCTTGTTCTCCGTCTCCATGTTTTTCAGCTGCGACTCGCGCAGGCGCACAAGCTCCTCCAGATACCCCTGCATAACAGTAACTCACAGTTAGAGACGAATAAACTGGATTGAAGAAGGCTGAGCTTAGAGGTCACTGAGAACCACCTTCTGGGCGTAGACGATCTTAAACCTTTGCTCCATCTTGCGACACTTGTTGCTCCAGCTCTCCTCATCAGTCACCAGAGGGATGTAGGGATGCTCAGGGACGCTCTCCTCACTGTTGCTGCTGTCCACACTGCGGCGGTCCTCCTCATCACTCAGATAATCGTAGCTGCACAGCAGAAAAGCAGCATCAAACTAAACACAGGTCCTTATAGAGTGAACTGACCAGCAGGGTGAATCTCTAGCCTCGTGAGACCATCCTGATCTTGCGAGCTTTCAAGGTTTCACTCGCAGATATGCGGAGCAAATCCATCTGGCGGAGTCAGGTTAGTGAATCTCACCTCTGAGTGAACTTCAGGTAGGGCGTGTAATCAATCACAGCTGGGGATTTCCCATCCAGAGCCTCTCCCTTCAAGCAAAAACTGAACCCAAAACACAGATAATGCAGATAAGTTACAATATTTACCATCTTAATAAATTACAAGTAATAACATACTGTGATTGAACATAAAAACAGCATGAGCAGCTGCAGGTATTGATATTTTCAAAACACATGGAAACCTGACCTGAAGTCAATGGCGCTCAATCCAATCAGCATGCCAGTCAGTACGGTAGCCTCCTCCCTCAGCATTATAGCCCCTTCATCATAGAACCTCCTGTTGAACAAAGAGTCAAGAAACAAACCCATTAACCAACAACATTTTCACCATTTTTCTCCAATCTTTCAATTGGACACAATGGAGCTTCTCTATAACCTCAGTATATCATTCCATTGGTCGGAACATCCAATCAGAGGACAGTTCCTTTGTCTCTTTAGATCCACAGGCTAATCAACTGAGACATTGAAGAATACTGATTTTATGTCAGATAATGCCAAGATGTCACTTTCAGCTGCAGCTTTCCAGTTATAACTTAAGGCAGGAAACTTTTTCATGACCAAGATGTGCATTTTTTGTGCAGAGCAATAAAAGTAAAGTCGGACCTGGTTGTTCTGGTGTCCCTCAGAGCAGTGGACACATATTCAGACAGACGCTTCTCCATCAGAGCTACTCTGATCCACGCCCGACCCTGTGGGGCAACAGAAGAAGTCAGCGGGAACAGAAGGCCTTCTCTCTGACATCAATCCCCCCCCCTCAACAAACACACAAAGCTGTGCATATTGATGTTCTTGCCTTGGCTCTGGATGTGCTGATGTTCTCTATGTTCTCAATGCTGGCGATGCAGCTGTTCTGCACCTTGCTGCACGCCAGGCGAATGTACTCCCAGAAACTGCGTTGTCCATCGGAGCTAAACCAGCTCCCTGAACCTGTTCACAGATGGAAACACAGCAGGAGATCATTTCTGCTCAGACAGCGAGCTAAAACTGCAGGATATGGTCACATCGACAGGCTGTCACTGACTATGATTACATGATGTTGTTGTTTTTTTTGCTTCATATGTTACCTGCAGTGTTACCTTTGAAGCGGTGGCTCAGGATGTGCTCTAAAATAGCAGCAAAGTTAATAAACTCCTCCGATGAATCATCTATAGGCTCTGCTGTGTACTTTTCTAGAAGAGTCTTCACAGAAAATCTGAAAGACAAGGAGATGGAAAAGGAATTAGAAAACTGTACTCCCACTAAAGGGGAAAACATTTACGTTTTGATGGTTTTGTGCAGCATGTCCCTTGCAGCTGAGTGCTATACTGTACTAAAGCTAACAAATGTAATACTGTATCTAAACAACAGCAGGGAAGGGGGCTTTTTTCTTTCTTTTTTTTTTATTTGGGAACCACGCCATCTTATACTTCTGAGGTCACCCCAATTGTCCTGTGTGTTTGCACAAAGCACCCTCTTCAATGCATCGGCTTTGTTATCATGCAAAAGCACACAATTAACCCCCTGTCTGTTCAGTATTGCTTCACTTCCAGGTCCTTTTGGATCTTGTCTCTCTGAGGGACCGGCCAGCATCAAAGCATGATCAAATAATTCCCTCCCCCTCATCTATACATTGTGGTGTGATCTATTTAGGGCAGCTGCAGCAGCTTTGGTTTGGCTTTTTGACCTCACATGCTTGCCCTTCTGCATCACAGAAGGACCTGCTATGCAGCGTGAACGATAGCTGGCATCCAGGCACGGGCTCGGGGTGACTGCCTACGCTTCAATGGGCAACACCAGCATCACAGAGGGAAAGACTGCCCTGGCAGTGGGGAGTACCTCCATAGCCAGGGGAAAGACTACCGTTTCCTTAGGCAACTCCTCCATCTTCAGGGGAGTGACCACCACCTCCATGGGAGATTCCACCATCCAAAGGCAAAAGACGACCGTTGCTCTGGGACGGGCCAGCTTCAGCCGGGGAACCACCACCACCTCCTTCCGCAAAGCGCTGACGTCCAAGCGCAGGAACACCTAGATGGAGAAGGACCCCGAGCCGAGGGCGAAGACTCCCAAAACAGCCAAGCAGTCAAAAAAAGACTCTAACAATGAGTGGAAAACTACATTCTCGTCAAGCAAGACCTCCTTCACCAAAGGCAGGGTTTCGTTCCTGAGGACAAAGTTGTTTATTTCCTGGGGAAAATCCTCATTTTCCTGGAGCAAAACCACTGTAACTTTGGGCAGCAACAGCATAACAGTGGCTGTAACTTCTGTGACACGGGGGGAGACCACAAGCTCTCTGATGACTCTTACCTTTACCTACGGGACCAAATCTGTGTCTGTTGTCAAGACCACCCTTACAAGGGGAAAAGAAAAGCACAGCAACGTCTACTGGGATTTTCACACTTGAATCCTGCACACACATAAAAGCTAATGGATGTGTCTGTGTGGTCAGTTTTAGAAGGTCAGTAGTCACGGTGAGCTGCTATATTTGGGATCAAATTTAACCCATCTTTATTTTTTACTGTTATGAAATTTAAAAAAGGGAAACTCCCCTTAAGAAAAAGAGACCTATGAAGCGTGCAAAGGATGTTATGCAAATGCAATTGTGATGCGATGAGGCTTTGTGGTGTGTTGAGATCAGCAGGGAGGGGAAGTGTGAACAGATGTGATGTGATATATGTGGCCATGCCAGAACAATTCTCCCGTTCTGTGCAGCCATCGACATGTCCACATCCGTGGGAGTTCTGTGCATTCCAATGAGTCTTTCATGCATTCCCATGATTAGGCTGCAAACTGTATTCCCAACAAAACTGTAAAAGTGTATTAATGTTATAGTGCATATAAAGATAATACCTCTAAACTCTGCTTTGCCTGATTGTTCCTGGTTGTTTTGTGTGTAGTTACTGATTTTAACGTCACTATAAGTCGATTTATGTTGACAGTTAACTGGTAATGAACATGAAAGGAGAGATGTAAAGCCTCAGATTCAGATCTGTGGGGAACATCAACATCAACAAAGTGCAGCTTTACATATGGCATATACAGCTGTAGACAGAGGGGACGTCTTACAATCGGAGGCTGTAGGGAACAATGGTCGAGAAGAAAGTGATGTCACCGCGGACTGTCCTGTTTTTAACAATGTGTCCTTCAACCGTCCGGTGTCGTCGTGTCGAAGGGACAATCGCCCCACTGTCCGAGTCCCCCCAGATAGGCTGCATCCACCTACGGCTGCCTCTGTCCATTCACAGGACACATGGGTGGTATGTGGCCTTCCAAAGCCCACGTAGACCAGCTCAACGAAGGCATTATGCCACACGGGGGTCGCGCTGTCCATGCTTAGGATTCTGGTCCTCTCTCCATCACAGCTGATGTTACTATTAACTCTGAAGGCTAACGGAGCAGGGCGTGCTGCATGAGTGTGAGATGCTTAGTGTGGAGTGAGTGCCGAACCCCACCGTCGAATCTGGGTCAGCAAGACAAGCTTCACCTCAATGGGCAACACCAGCTTCACAGAGGGGAAGACAGCTTTAACGCTGGGCAACACCACCATAAAGAGGGGGAAGACCAAGCTGGCCATGGGGAACTCCTCCATCACCCGAGGCAAGAGCACCACTTCTCTGGGCTCCTCCACCATCACCAGTGGGAAGACCAAGATCTCACTGGGCAGCGCCTCTTTCAGCAGGGGCTCCACCACCACGTCTTTTCGGAAAGCCCTCTTCCCAAAACGCAAGACAAAGACGATCTAGATGACACAGGGCCACATCCAGAAGTAGGGGGACAAGAAGTCATGAGACAAATGCGGGACAGGGAACATTTGGAAATAACGACACAGGCTCTAGTCCAACCATGGGTGAAAACTGGATTAAATTTACTTTTGGGGTTCTGACTTTTCTCCCTCATGCCGGAATTATCAAGGAAAGAGGTCAGTGGCATTTACGTCCTGTCACATAAACCCTACCCTGCTTTTTAAATGTATTTTAATGCTAAATTGTTTTTTTTTTTTTTTTTGGAATATTGTAAATATTAAGCAATATTTCAAGCAGACAGAGCAACCGCTACAAGTTACAGGGGCGGTTCAGTCATCACATTTGCACTTGTAAAACTCTCCTCTTCAGGCTGCAAAAGAAATCCTCATTAGATGAGGATCTTAATCTAACCTTTATTCCTTATGTTCATTCACAAAGTGCATGAAAACTACTGATTAATGGTTAAGATTACCAAGGTACGCTTCTAAAAAAAGCTCTTCCTGATCGATAAGGCATTGGCACTGTTATCTCAAGATTGTAGCAGATATTTGGGAATTTACTGAGGCCCTTTGATCAAAAGGACGCCTTAAAAATGCAAATAGTTTGAGTGGAACAGCAACATGGTCTTGGTACGATTTGACACTGAAAAACAACTGCTCGGCTTTCTGACAAGCTTCTTTTGTGCCCCCTCTTGCTCCACCCTGGATCTCTGCCAATCCCCACTCAGCACTGTCTAAATACCCCCTTGTTCTCCCTTTCTCACCTATCCACTGTACTTACAGGAAAAAGTTTGAGCTACAGCAGCATACAAAGACCAAAACGCCATTTATCAGCAGTGACAGCTAACCCAAATGCAGACGCTGACCCCTTTTTCTCCCTACAAACACTTCCCTGACATCTTTCTCCTTCTCTCTCCTCTTGTATTCTTTCTCTCCCCTCAGTCTTGGCCTAACCAGCAGGATCAGATGACACTGCCGAACCCATCGCTGGCAGCAGCTGCACCAAAAGAGACACTCTTTCCTGCACTGGACTGGCACAAGAAGTCAACATTTGTTTTCTTGTAGTTTGGGTCAATTCCAAAAAGAAAAGCAGGTCCCTTTTCTCACAATTCCCCTCTGTGACGAAGCGTCAGAGCAAAGTGTTTTATGGTCAGCGGAGGTGCGGACGGATCTGGGCATAAGATGGACAGTCAGGGTGTTTGATCGAGAGATAATAAATGAGTCAATCGGGTCTATTCACAGGAGAGGAGCTTAAGTGAGAGCAAGGGGATCAGCTGATGAGTTCTCCCAAAACGTACTGAAACCTCTGCTGTAATTATAGATACTTGACAGAGTTACATTAGTTCAGAAATCATGAAAAATGCAAAAGAAAGGTTGCGCAAATGTAAAAAAAGCACATGCAAATTTGAATATTTGACAGAAAAGGGGGGAATAATGCACAAGAATAAGCAAAGTTGCACATTCCATCCCGGTAAATGTGGATTTTTGTGTTTACAACAGTTTTTATCCTTTTCTTTCAAACGCCTCAGAGGATTAGCTCATGTCTTTACCTTCCTGTGCCTTTTGGAACTCCACCAATCACCTTTCTCACTCATCTTATGTATTCCTCAGGTCCTCCGTGTCCACAACAACACTCATCCTGCAGTCACCGACCACCTTGGACATCTTAGCCAGAATAAAAGCAGCAAACCGGTCAATTTTACACCAAACAGAACAGGATGTTCGGACTGTTATTACTGCTTATTGAAAACATTTGGTCATGTTAGGCTCCAAAATTTAACTCTCTGCAGGAAGCTTCAGCTGAGTTAAAGTAAAAAAAAAACTGTTGCCACTGGCAACTGGACATGCTTCACCACATTTGTCCTCCAATATCAATGCTGCCACTAGAGATTCATGCCACGAAAAACACTTCTGTTAAACATCTCTTCAATATTCACAGTATTTGTCTTGTTTGTTACGTTTTGCCTAGATCAGAAACTGTTCCCTGACATTTTGCAAATATATGCTCTAGTTTCAAGGTTCCCCTTCATGACACACAGGTGTCCTCTGGTAAAAATGTCTTTAATTAAAGTAGGTATAGCTCAGATCATCTATGTATGATTCTGACAAGAAACTTAAAAAAAAAACGATTTCTTCCGAAAGCAGAACTGAAACCATATTCTGTTTTCCCCACCAACACAAATTAAGAATTGAAAGAAGTTAATCTGTTTTGCTGACTATATGTTAAAAATATGTTTTACCACTGAGGGAATAGACTTTTTACATTTATACACATATATCAGGATACAATAACAGCTTGGCACGCCGCACTAATGAAAAGCACTAACATCAGTTAGCTCATGTAGCTATCCAGGTATCTGTGTCTGGATTGTGGATAATTTATCAGAAGATCGCCCAGGCTGCTGTCATGCCCAGCCAAAGGGTCTGCTGCTGATTCAGCATCTCCCCTCATTAAGGCTGCACCATCACATAACAACTGCTCACATCACCTCAGAGCGTCTGGTGCTGTAAAAAAGGTCAGAAATATGAGGAAAGAGAGGATCAGACACCTGTAAAGACACCTGGAGGAAAATCTCCATTTAAGTGAACTTAATCGTTAAAAGAAAGGAGGGAAATAAAGAATTTCGAGTTAGCGTTACTGACACAAAGCATTGTGGGTATTATTTCTGTTTTGTCTTGTTTTTGTCATTAAAATGCTCATATGATTAAAAGTGTCCTAGCACGGTCGGGGCAAAGGGAAAATAAGTGTTTAAGGAATTCCTAGCTAATCTTTGTGTTCAAAGTCCAGTGTGAGGTTTGTTGGTTTGTTATTTTCTTTGCAGGCATCCTCTGCTTTGTGTTGTGTGTTGTGCCTCAGTGTATCTCACTTGAATGCAAAAACGACCATAAAAATAATAAAAATGCTTGACTGCGTGTCTACCTGGGAGTCTGCATTTATTTTACGCTTTATTTTTCTGATATAGTGGTGTAATGAAAGACAGCATGGATGTGTGTGTGTGAGAGGGGATTAAATGGTGGATGGTTCATCGCATTGAATATGATGCAGATGATAAGAAATCAAAACTGTTATATTTTTCTAAAATGACTTGAGAGGCATTAAAAAAAAATCAGTAATAACAGTTGTTTGGCCAATTTAAAATTATATAAATTAACTTAAAATTGAACTTTATTTACATTTGTATGAAACAATGTACAATGGGTGAAAAATTTAAATTAATTCAGAATTCCCTTGATTTACATGTCTAGGTTAGTCTAAGTGAGTTTAATTCAGTCTTCACACTGGAAAAAATCAAAGTCAATTTTTTATTAAAATAAGTGCATTTGTTCTTGAATTGAGGAGATAAAAGACATTTTGCCAATGGAAAAAGTCAATTTAGATTTAAAATAAGAAAAAAAAATGTCATTGTCTTATTACAAGAGCATATTATCTTATTATCTTATTTTAGGACTAAAAATACTCATTCCATTGGCAGATTATCTAATTTACCTATTCAAATCAAGAGTAAGTACACTTAATTTTAGAAAGTTTTACTTATTTCTAGATCGTTTTTTCCAGTGCACATAAATCCAGATTTTCTAGAAAAATCCTCACAGGTTTGTTAGAGAATAATTGACAACAATGGTCCTCATAAAGACATGAAGAACAAGGTGTCTTTCTTTAATGGGGCCATAGAACAAAAGAATTTAAAAAAAGCAGGACAAGTGCTTCTTTTACTATATTTGATGATAAAATAAAGCCAAAATTACAGACCTCTGATATACGTTTGAAAACTGTGATCCTCTTAATATGGCTTAAGCTTAAACTAACAGTCATTTCGGAATAATAAATAAAATGAAATCGTACATGCAAATTTTAAACTGATCCGAGGAATTAATCAGTTATGGTCTCTTTTGTTAGCCCATACCATCACAAGAAATGTATAGAGCATTCGACTGCAAAGACTGATCCAAAAATAGGTAAAAATGTCTTGAAATAAGTTTATTTTCCCTTCATTGGAGCAGGTAAATAAGATGATCTGCCAAAGGAATTAGTATTTTCCCCCTTAAAATAAGATTATTAGATATCATGCACCTGAAATAACATTATGGATTTTTTTCTTACTTTAAAAGTAAATCATCTTATTTCACAGGCAAATTAAATATATGTAAAATATAGTTATTTCAAGAAAAAAAATGTCAATACCAATTTTTTAGCCTCTAGAAACACAATGGGGTAAAAAAAAAAAAAAAAAAACCCTGAATGTTAAAACTGTAACTACACGGTCATATGTTTACATTACTGTTTTTCATCACAATGTTTTTATCACAGCTGTTTCCTTATCAAGGCTGCACTTTAAAAAATGAAAGTCTACATTTGCTTTTATTTGTTCATGCTCCCGGTGGTTGTTGTCTTTATTCCACTCTGTATTCACATGAGTGAAGTCTTTGTCCACTTTATAATAAAAAAAAGAAACAATTTTGAAAGTTCGGAGTGAAATTCGTTTCATGCTTTGTGTGTCAACTGACATGGCTGCTAAGCGACAGAGCGGTAAAAGCCACTGAAGGCTAGACCTGTTCGAATCCACAGCCTAAACTCGTCTGGTCTCCTTATTTTCAATGACTTCAAATGATCCAGTCCAGGTAGATCGCCTCCTTGGAAAATGCAGCCCATAAGTTCCAACAGAGCCACTGTCTCCAGTCTGAGCATAAGCTATTTTCCAAAGACAAATAAAAGAATAGCAGTATCTTTTTTTTCTTTTTTTCATCTGGATATGCAGCAGAATGAGTTATTCAACAAAATAGCGTTAACTGAAACATTTCCAGTTTAAACCTCTGATAACTGTTGAGTTTATTGGCTTCTTGACAGCACCAGGGGCGGAGCTAGATGGGGGGGCCAAGGGGGGCCATGGCCACCCTTAGCCAATCATTTGCTACCCCTACCATTTATTTCCCTCTAATACAGATGGTGGCAACAGTAATACTCTCAAATAGATCATTCAAAATATTTTAATTTAATATATTAACANACCCCTACCATTTATTTCCCTCTAATACAGATGGTGGCAACAGTAATACTCTCAAATAGATAATTCAAAATATTTTAATTTAATATATTAACAATTACTTGACAACAAAAACACTGGTTAATTATGCACATCAATACACTAACATTAAAATGACAAGTACAGTATTCATGCTCTTTTTCGTATTTTATGGGGTAAAGAGAACATGATGTGTCTCTGCAAGTCATCTAGGAGTCTTCAGTGACGTCATAGATAAATAACTATTTTAATAAAACATAATAAATAATCATTTTATGTAGATATTAGTACTTGTTAATGTCAACTTAATGCAGAATGATTACTGATAAAAGTAGGAAAGTGATGACAATGGAAAAGATGTTCACCCAAAACTCAAACCTGAAAGAATGTTATCCACTATACCTTTTATCTAGAAAGCACGGATGTTTTAACATATGCATCTATTTTTTTAGCAAAGGCTGTAGGAAAGTATAGTTTGTCTTTATTTAGAAAATATGGATGTTTTGCTCCTTAATTTTCCTGTTGGAACAGTGTAGACTGACCCTGAAGTTCTGGTACCTATCTACTTTCGGCCACCCCTCAGTGTACATCGGTTATTGCCTGGCCATCTTTATAAAGATTTTCTGGCTACGCCTCTGGACAGCACACCTTGCAGTGGATGAAACAGGATGGAGGACATCTGATGTGGGGAGGAGTCCTTGCAAAGCTCCCTATGCCCTTGTCCTGCTCAGCTGTCAGTGAGAGGCTGGTGCATTTTTCCTTCTGGTTTATGATCACTGATAATCTCAGAGAGACTGCACACATTTGAAAATAGATCTCATTGAGTCAACTAACTACCACATGAAATAAAAAATAAATAAAGGCAGAATGAACTCTTGTTGGAGTATAAATGGACTGAAATATTTTCCTATTCCTCTGTTAATAGCAGTTGTTTGTGAAGGTGAGAACACACCTGCCTCATATTACTGAGTCTTTTATTCTGAATAATATTCTTTTTTTCACTCTGAAAAATAAACATGGAGCGTCGATCGGGTCGTGATGTGTACCTGCAGACCGTGATGAGGTTCTTTCGCTCCACCGCTACGCTCCTGGCAGAAGCCTTCTTCGATGTCAGACCCAGAGCCATGGCTGTCTGAACGCAGCCTGACTCCATCCAGACCCGGCCTCTCTGCGGGGTCCGCACCCAGGCCAGGACCTCTCCCTTAGCAGGGCCTGCGTCCTTCCAGCACCCGGTGTCCTCTGCGGATGGTGATGATGATGCTGCTGCTGATGCGGCGGAGATGAGTAAATGAAAGGTACATGTGTAAAATTAGAAATAGTTCCATAAGTAAGATCCGGCTAATTCCTTCAAAATAAAACACATTTTTCATCATATAAACAGCTAAAAAAACTAACGATTGTTAATGTGAAATTGAAATTAATGAAATTAATAAAAATTATGTTTTTATTGTAATGCCCGAACATTAAATATATAGAATTTGAAGACAACAAAGGTGGGCTAATTTCCTTTCTTCATCACTTTAAAATAAAAAATGGAGAACTTTTTGACCACAATATGTTCGGAAATGTTCTTGTGCAGGTCTTCTGTCCATCCATGCACTTGATGCAGAATTTGAATTTGTCCTTTCCTTTTATTTTTTCTTGACTTCTTCGCTGCTTCCCTGTTAGTAAACACGGGGATGTGCAACTCTTCTTGTTACCAGCAGGGGGAGTAAAAGAGCGCCCAACGCTCTCCAAAACAGTAGAGGGCGCTGTGACTAAAAAAGTACAGGCCCGATTCACACTCCATTCCAGTAGATGGCGGTAATGCGCATAAAAAAAAGGTTGCTTGCCAGCCGCAAAAAAGAAAAAAAAGAGAAGAATAATAGGCAAAATGGCGGAATCAACGGATCCCAAAACACCAACTTGTACCTTTCTGTTCAAAAAATCGACAAAAAAATTCTCCGGACGCAAAAGAAAAGCAAGTGACAGCGATAAAGGTAAGTAATTCTAAATGATACAGCGTTGATTTGTTTTTAAATTGTAAATTAAGAGTGCTGTTTCCCTTTTTATTTGGTTACGTTCGTGTGATTTTTACCTCCAGCATTCGCTAAAATGATTGAACGGAAGTTTTCAAAATGATCCTTGTATATCATAGTTATGTTTTAGCTATATGCAGCTTTTAGGTTTACACAGAACTATACTGACTGTGTCATTTTGAGACAATTCGTACTGCTTTCTAATTTCTACGATAAAAAAAAATAGAAAAATTAAAAAGCAGTTGATTTGTATGACCAAAGAAAAGACAGGTGGCTGTTAATGAAATGTTCGGGCTCACCTCTTCTAGAGAGTAACAGTGACGAAGACCAGTGTGCTGTGATCAGAAGAGAAAGGAAGGATGCGAAGGTCAACCCCATGATTCAGAAGGTAAGTTAATAACAGGAAATAATGTTAATATATTGATAGATTTGAGGTAATTGTGACTCAGACATATTATTGTTCCAGACCAAAAGGGTGGAGAGAGATGCTGTATCTTCTAGTGAAAGTGAAGATGACAAAGATGACAAGATCACAGTTTCCTACAAGTCTACAAGATCAGCGGTGAGCCTCATTTTCTGCTGCTCTCTTCACAACCTTTCATTGTTGGCTGTTGGACTATTCTTTTCAGACATGGACTAACATGAGAACCTTTCAGGCAACAAATTATTGAGATTTAAACCAGTTTTTCAAGTATTGTTTGTTTTCTTGAAATTTGCTTTATAAAAAAAAACAAAAAAAAAACATGTGGATCTGTAAAATACATTGCAATTTTATAAGTCAGTGTCAGTAAAACAAAGAACTGCAAGAATTTGAATGCATATTTTAAAAGAACCATACATAAACACTGTGGAGATTAATTATGTGGAAATATATTAACATGTTCTGGTAAAGTAATTTAGACTTAACAATCAAGCTTTTTCATTGCCAAAGCAACATATTTAAACTATTAAAGTATTTCAGGGTAAAAAAAAATAGCATACAACTATTTTGAGTTGTGGGGTTTGCGGGTTCTATGGCCTACCATGGAAGTATAAAAAAAAAAAAGACTATTACAACTCATTGGTTTTTGTTGTTGTTGTTGTTGTTTTGGTATTCGCAAATGATCTGCATTTGTTCCTGATGAGGTGTAGTTTTATACTAGACATGTGTTGACAAAATCCACAGATGAACAGGACAATCCCCAAATGCAGATAATGAGTAAATCAAGCACTTAAATATGTGAATATGTAATGAATTGACATTATTCACAAGACAGGATTCACAAATGTATTTGTTATGTATACACAATTATATCTTGATTTATAGACTTCTAGTGGTCTTTGAACGTCACTGCATTTGTGTGCGGATTTTGGAGACTGCTATGATTTGCATCCAATTAGAACATTGTTTGAGCCAATCACAAGAGCGTATAGCACATGGGCGGTGATTTTGTTATAAGCCAATCACAGTAAGAGTAGAATCACGCTACATCTCCTGCTGTCAGCTCTCTGCTCCAGAGGGGGGTACAGTCAGTACAGTCATGCTCTCTATCGGGGGTCTAGCTCTGGACGCTAACTGGGAAGTTCAAATGCCGGAGAGAGTGCAGAGCAGAGTTGTACTTCATATGGGGCCCAGATAATGTTGCTTACTGGCCTATTGTGTCGTTACGCCCGTTACGCCATTGTCTTTGATTGAAAAAGTTTTGTTTCCACTAAAGTCTTTTTCTGATTTATTACTTTGTGTTTTTTTTTATGTGGAACTGTTGTGTATTTAATATAATCTTATAAACCATACCTTTAAAAACTTGGGAAAAAAAACTGTAACTGATGTAGATACTAAAATAAAAAAACAAAACGTGAAAAATGGCAGCTGGAATAGGATAGAGTCCAAATATGGCATAAGTCTGCCATGCAGTCAGTCTCTGCAACCTTATGTTTGCTGCAGACATCATACTCTTCCAAGTAACAAAATCAGGCCCACATGGTGCACGTTCTTATGACTGGCTGCAGCGGTGGAGTTAACCAATGCATTTGTGCGTCTAGTCATGCCAGGCGAGTCTCCAAAATCCACACACAAATGCTGTGAAGTTCAAAGACTACTGGTAGTTTCTAAATCAATATATAATTTTGTATTCATCACAAATTCTTTTGTGAATATGTACATGTTGTGTACATATTTTGTTTGAATCATTATTCTCATGGTTGGATCTTATCCTGTGCATGTGTGGATCACATGTGTGAGCTTGTGAATATTGAGTCTTCTAACTTCATACAAATGAAACATCAGTTTGTTAGTCCAGCTTTTTCTTTACTGGTCCTTTTATTCTACTTTAATGTATTTTTCTTCCTGTGCTTTTCTTCTCTTATGTCCTCCTCATTTAAAGCACTTTAAATTGTCTTACTGAAACATGCCACACAGATAAACTGGTACATTTTCGGGCATCTGATTGAAATAACTTCTAGCCTATAGTTGTAAACATTGGTATCAAATAACTGATTGTTTTCACTGGATGTGCTGAAGATGCCCATGAGACCTTTAGCGCCTCATAAAGATGTAAATCTCTCTTTTTATTTTATATAATATTGTTAAAACAAAGAAACCAGAGGGACCTGAAGACATGGGTGCAACCGCTACGTATCAGCTGGACACAGAGAAAGACAAAGATGCCCAGGCAATATTTGAGAAGAGCCAGAAAATCCAAGAGGTAGGAAACTTTGTTTAAAAGCCTGAGAGCTAGTGTCTCACAGGATTGCATATCGGCCGTAACCTCTGCATAGTTTCCACATTTTAGCTGTTTAAATCATTCAAATTATTTATTGACCGCTGCTCCCTCCACACATACTTTTCTTTGAACAGGAACTATTGGGTAAAGAGGATGATAAAATATACCGTGGCATCAATAACTACCAGAAATTCATCAAGCCTAAAGACACCACAATGGGCAACGCTTCTTCTGGTATGGTCAGGTAAGGAGGCGAACATTTAGAACATAAACAGAATGTTTGTGGAACCAGAATATCCAGACCCCAACAGTTGACATAAATACATGTAATTATTTCAGCAATTTCCATTTTATGAAACTGATTTTAAACAGGCTCTTTAAAGGCTTTCTACTTGAATTGATCCTTAAATATCATTTGTGTATCATATATTGTATATCATTTTAATAGAAAAGGGCCGATCCGTGCCCCCGAACACCTGAGAGCAACAGTCCGGTGGGACTACCAACCAGATATCTGCAAAGACTACAAGGAGACTGGTTTCTGTGGTTTTGGAGGTTTGTTTAAATTAGGAATTTAATATGTAAAACTTAACTTTGATGTGATCCTTATTATCTTATTGTTTGATTTTAATGTTACCTGCTTTTTTTTTTTTAGATAGCTGCAAGTTCCTCCATGACAGATCAGACTACAAACATGGCTGGCAGATTGAGAGGGAACTGGAAGAGGGCACATTTGGAGCAAATGGTGATTTTTGTGTTATACTCTCATAATTTTCTCAAAGGAGTATTTTTTTAACTGTTTTTTTCTTCTTTTAGATGATGAGAATTATGAGGTGAGCAGCGATGAGGAGGATTTACCCTTTAGGTGCTTCATCTGCCGAGATTCCTTCAAGAATCCCATTGTCACAAAGTGAGTCCTCCCACCACGTTTCTCCTTTACTCCATAATGCCGAGTTAAATGGGATCTGCTATCTGCTGTGTTCCAGGTGCAAACATTACTTCTGTGAAACCTGCGCTCTTCAGCACTATCGCAAGTCGAAACGGTGCTACGTGTGCAACACTCAAACCAATGGAGTCTTTAACCCTGCAAAAGGTAAGAAAGTTCTACCAGAAAAAAAAAATGGGTGAACTGAAAAACACCCTGATATCTGTATCCTTTATTCCAGAGCTGATTGCAAAGATGGAAAAGCAAAATGCTGCAGCCGACCTGCCTCCATCCGACGAGGAAGATTAGCGTCATGGAACCCATTTATCCCTTTCTTTATGTCCGTCTGTATATTTTCAATAAATATTTTTTAAAAGCTTTCCTGCTCCTGTGTGTCTCAGTGTTTTTTGAGAGATGAATCTGCACCCTGCCTGTTGTTCAGGTTTTAATTTGACACATTTTGTTTTGTCTTTGCTTTTAAATATACATGCAGACAAAACAAGCACCAATAAAACATTCAGTTTAACATGAGTAGGACCCAAAGAACTCATATGTCTAAAGTTTGAAAAGTTGTGCAACATATGAGCATATGATGTGTAGAACATAAAGAAGGTGAACATTCTGTTTGATCAGTTTACTCAAGAACATGAATCTGGGATAGAATGATGAGCTTCCCTTGTGAAAACCGCTGTGAAGCCTTATGGTGGCGAGTAAGCTGATTGAGTTATCAATAATATGCAAAGTAAGTGTTCTTGAACAAGTCAAATCCATGCGTCTACATCCATAAGATTACTGCAAGATGACATGAGCGACATGTCCCTATTTAGCATCAGGATGCTTTTGGTGTAGTTCACCAAAAAGCCGTTTCTGCATAAAGCCATCAGTGCAAAACATGAGTCTGTGCATATCTAGAAGCAAAGAAAAGCATAAGCAAGACATCAAAAAGAGGTGAGTGACCTCTAGTTTTAACTTGTCTGTGAATAGCAACTTCCTTTAAATGAACATGTAACTTGCTTGCAGAGGAGCATTACAGAACAGAAGTTCCTAGTAGGTGAGTTTTTCAATACAATCCTTAGCTTGTGTTCCCTTTAAGTGGTTTCCTGTCAGAAGTCCCAGTCCTCCACGTCCAGATGGCTCAGACCCGACTCTAAACTTGCCAGTCCAGAAACAGAGTCCTGTGGCCCTGAGCTCTCAAAACAAGTGATGGGTGATACCGGTTGCAGCAGCTCAGGCAGCGCCTCTGATGGTCGACGTTTTATCTGAATTTAAATGCAGAATGAGATACAAGGGAAATGTGAAGTTTTTTTCAGTCTGGTATAGACTTAAATATCTTGAATACTAAAGTACATTATAAAAAAATAAAAGGAAACATGCCGAAGTACATACATTTTTACCTACCTGTTTGAAGAAAGGATGACCGATAAGAGTGGTAGCAGATGGTCTGCAAGAAAGGAGAACTAATCAAACAAGAGCTTTGATGATTTTAAGACCTTCCTATCAGACTGAAATAAGAAGGGGGTCTCACCAACCTATTTTCTGGGTCTCGCTGTAGACACAGCTCAACAAAGCTGTGAAACTGTGGAGAAAATGTTCTGTTATACGGATGTCCTCCTGAAGATGAAGAAGGATCTCCGTTTGAGTGCCTTGGGCCTCCTGCTCTAGGGCCCTCACAGATGCCAGAATCAGCAGCGGAGCGAGATGGCTTGAGTGACAGCTCCTCTGGGGGGATAGTTGTGGTGTCCAGCAAACAGGGAACAGTTCCATTCAGTTTCTCCAGGAGCATCTACAAGCAGGAATAAATATAGGGATTCTTCTTTTTTTTGTAAAGTAACCAAGACACAAGTGTCCAAACTATGGGATAAGGCCTTGTTAAGTATCCTTATTTTCGTTTTGACCAAAGATTCCCTTGCCATATGGACTGTTGTGTTATCAAATTCAAACTACAAACCTTAATACCTTTAACACTGTAGAGGAGACTAAAGATTGTATAGGATTAAATAAGGAAAAAAGGAACTCAAAGTGAAAATTCACAATGCAAGTTTGCTTTACGCCACAATAAAAAAATAAAATCCACTTTTTTAAAATAACTTTAAAAGATTACATTTGGGTTTATAATCTATATAAATTTGTCAAATGCATGAAATGATTTGCTGAACTCTGAATTAACAGTGTAACTGATTCCTTTTCCTCAATTTAAGATTTTTTTTATTTTATGACAACTCTAGGGAGCTTTTTCTGCTGACACTTTGACATTAATATAAATTATATCAGAGTGGCCGCTCACCTGTGTAGCCGGCATATCTTTGAAGGGTACATGTCCATTGGCTAATTCACAGGCAGTGATGCCAAGGCTATAAATATCTGATCGAAAATCATAGCCTTGCAAGTTCTGTAGAAATAAAACAAACAAAAATAAGCTAATTAAGAGAACAGGTTTAGAGTTAAGTTCCTATGCAGATGTTAGGAGAACCTACCTGCTGTAGCACTTCAGGGCTGAGCCAAGGTAGCACTTTCACACTGTACTGAGGGAAATCATGAACCATTTTTGCCCTTTGACCGTTACGGATGAGGCTGAAAATACTCCGCAGTCCCGACATGCAGACCTGTCCATCAGAAGATATCAAGACGTGGCTGGCCTTCACACTCCTGCATGAGCGAAACAGTAAGGAATGCAAATGGGTGGTTTAATCAATACTTTACAGCTATCGTTTCTAAAACACAAAAAAAAAAAAACACAATCGAGAATCAAATCGAAACTTATTTTGGTTAAGCTAAGAATACTAGATGACTGTAATGAAATAAATGTATCTGCATCAGCTGGCAGTGATTTAATCTTTCCGCTCAGACTGAGTTAGCCGTTAATCTTACCTGTGTACATATCCCATGTGATGGATATATTCGAGTGCTTTAAGCATGCCTAGCAAAATGTATGCAATGGTCAGCTCACTCATACCATCCGAAAAATGTGTGCAGATGAGATCTCGGGCTGAACCTGTAAGAAAAATATAAATTAGCATGAGGGAGGAAATGTTTAATCTCACACAGGCTTCCTCAATAGAATATATTAAGATGCAGCATAGGATGTTTTTCCTTCCGTACCATAAGCCATGAATGGTGTGATGACCCAAAGTTCATTTTCAGCTATAAAGATGCTTTTGTATGGTAGAATACTGGGGTGATGAAACAACTTTGACACGTGTAATTCACCCTAAAGAGAAAAGAAAACTCACATCTCAAACATCATGTCGACCAGCAGCGAAAATTATATTAAGGAGAAAAAGAAGAGGACATAATAGGGCGGTAAAAATGTAGAGAATTCCTAAAAATATTCTGCTTTTACTATTATGTCAAATTCTAACCTCAGACAAAAATAAGCCTGAGTATTTATAAAAAGTAGTTTATAATAATGATAATATTAAGTTTTAAGGGAAAAAAGCTATCAGAAAATACAAATCAGTAAATAATCCTTGAATTTCATTTCTAATGCTTTGGGATTCACTGAGCAACAGCTAAACAATCATCTAAAAAAGAAGAAAAAACACAACACACACAAACAGTTTCCAATGTTCCAATGAAAAACCAGCCTTAAGGAAAAAAAAAAAAAAAAAAAAAAAAAAATAAACAAATCGTATAGTAAAGTACTTTTTCATACAGCATGGGCCACAGCTATGTAGGGTTATAGTACAAATACATTTACTTAAGACCTGCCTGGTTTAATTTGTTTGGAAAACTTATAAAATTTCCTTTGGTTATTTTCTAGCAGGCATTAAAATGTGATCATTTAAAAAAAATCAATAAAAAAAAAAAATTTAAAAAAAATAAAAAAAAAAAAAAATTAACAGCACATTGATTAAAAGACATTTTCAAACATCATGGGCCACAGCTATGTAGGGTTATAGTACAAATACATTTACTTAAGACCTGCCTGGTTTAATTTGTTTGGAAAACTTATAAAATTTCCTTTGGTTATTTTCTAGCAGGCATTAAAATGTGATCATTTAAAAAAAATCAATAAAAAAAAAAAATTTAAAAAAAATAAAAAAAAAAAAAAATTAACAGCACATTGATTAAAAGACATTTTCAAACATCATGGGCCACAGCTATGTAGG